ACCTCAGCTCTTATATACATAAATGCATAAATCTTAAAAAAGAAGAAGCTAAAGCTGGTGGAGAGAAGCCTGTTTAAATTTGAGACTGATGGCCCTCCCTGGTGGCGCAGCGGGTTAAAGCACAGCACTAAGAAGCTTAAGCCACTTCCACATGAGTTCGATCCCCGCCTGCCCCGGAGGTGACCACAGGGCGCGGCAGACCTCTCCTGACCCGCCTGCTGCTCCCCTCAGCAGTGGGCTTCGTCAGTCGGTCTGTTCTGCTCCCCACTCTGCCTCTGGTGAATCTACTCACGTCCTCTGCATTTCTGGCCTGTACCCCAGTTCTGTATGCACAAATAAAATAAATCTTAAAAAAAATTTGAGACTGCCAGGACGGGCAACGTCCACCTAGAGTTGTGCTGTCCAATGCAGTCAGCACTGACCATGTTGACCGTGGGCTCATCCAAAGTGAGATGCCCCATAAGGTAAAATGCACCCCACATTTCAAGACTGAGTACCAAAACAAGTAAACATTTCATCAACAATTCAAAAATACTGTTTACATGTTAAAATGATAATATTTCAGGCGTATTGGGGGAAAGTATATCACTACTATTAACAGCACCTGCTCCCCCCTCAGTTTTTCCTGTCTCACACGTAGCCCTCGCTTTCTACCGGTCTGTGGCGGTTTATGTCATTACCGTGGGGACGGTGGTGAAGGGGAGCGAAGCCTCGGCCCCGGACGGAAAGTTCAAGGAACAGAGAGGCCCTCTGGTCTCCAAGTCACCCAAACGGTTCACCGCAGAGTCATTCTGAAGACAGCACCAGCGAGGCGAGCACTGCCATGCTGGAGAGAAGGCGTGAACGTGAAGGGCTTAGGATGGGCAAGAGGTGCCGGAAGACATGCCAGCCCGGAGGATTTCGGGAGGAGGGGTGGAGGGGTGGAGGAAGAGGCAGTGAGGGCTGAAGGGGTGGCTGGGCTGGCGCATCCCTGCGCTGGAGGCCAGCTGGCACTGCTGAGTGGGTGACAGCGTGGTGCATTGCATCTCTGGACAGCAAGAACATAACCAAGCAGTGGCAGGAAGCTCTGAGGCCGGCTGGGGTGCCCACTTCCTGCGACCCATCACCCGGGGGCGTCTTCTTTGGAGGCCCATCTGATTGAAGGGAGCAAGCGGAGCACCTGCAGCCGGCCAAAACCCAGAAGCCATTCCCGCAGGTGAGCTGCTTTTCCCTGTAACCGCGTCGGAGGCTGAGACACGGGCACTGCAGTGCTGGGCCAGGCGCTACTGCATTTGGGCGTCTTCGGGATTCAGGGAGAAGGCAGGCAGCAGATGCTCCACTTAGGGTGCTCCGTGCCAGGAGCCTGCCTGTGCTGCTGGGGTGCCCTGGTCCCCTTTCCTGTCTGCCCTCCCCAGCTCCCCCCGCTGCTGACTCAGGCCATCTGCCCATCTGCCTGGCTCTGCATTTTCCCATTTCTGGACCTCAGTTCTCCCAGTATCTACCCAATAATTTTTATATTCTAAGAACTCTGGATGTAAACATAAATAAAATCAGTTCTTCCCCTCAAAGAACTCCCCATCTAGAGGAAAAGCACAAGGCACATTTCTGCCTGCCAAGGCAGAAATTCTGCCCATGTGACCTTGGTGTGAGCCCCCCCCCCAACACTCCGGCCCTCCTTTGTGTCTGCTTCCCCACGGCTGGCTGAGGAATCTTGTAGGGAGTCCTGGGAGGAACTGGGAAAGTGACTGCATGCAGGGAAGCCCCTCTTCAGCAGGACAAAAAGGTGCTGGTTCTGTCATTTATAACTAAATTTTAAATAAAATGTTCCTAGAGAAAAAGATAACAATACAGAAGACTGCTTTCCCTTAATTCTCCACCCTAGTACCAGTCACTTCTGGACATTTTCGGGAGAGCCTGCTGAAAATGTTTTATCTCAAGTGTGTGTACACACACAGCATGGATGTGTGCACACATGTACAAATGGCCGGGACAGACAGAGCTTGCTGGTGCCGGGGGTGGAAGGAGTAGGAGGCGCCCCCTGAAGGGGGCGCTGTAGCTGGGCCTGACTGGGGCTTTCTAGGAGTAAGTGAGGACTCCCAGGGTGCAAGGGTTGGGGAGGGGGGGGCAGAGGTGTCTTCAAATACCCAATGCATGGCCTCTTTCTGGTGCACAGAGGGGAAATGCTCAGCACCATGAAGCTATCCACACCCACTGCAGCACGAATTTGATCCCTGACCCAGGAGCTGACTGACCCTGGGGCACAGCAGACCTCGCCTGTCTCACCGCCCACTGCTTCCCTCAGCAGTGTACTTCCTCATTGATCTGCCTGTTCTGCTCCCCACTCTGTCTCTGGTGAATCTTCTCACCGCCCCCAACCTCTGGCCGGTACCCCAGTTCTGTAGGCATAAATAAATAAATCTTTAAAAACAACAGGCATGGCCAAAGTGTGTTTGCGTCTGTCAACATCATGTACTCTATCTACGGATGTTGATTTAGAAAAAGGACCACACCCAGAACCAGTATGTTATAACCCAATGTTATTGTGATGTAAAGTTTTCTTAAATAAAAATTCACCTGGTTTTTTTTTTTTGCATCCAGTTGGCCTCCATCTCCTTAACTGAAAAGTGGGATAATGAGGTCCACTCTCCATTCCTCACAGGGCGGTTGTGGGGATTCCAGGGGTAGGACGCTGCTGAGGCCACGCCTTGTGCCAAGCTCTCCCTAGGCCTGTGCTCCTGTGGGCACCGCAGGGGCTCCTGGCCCTGCCTGAGCGCTTAACCCAGCGCCTGGTCCGGCTCTGGACAGCCAGTGTGCACAAAGGAACTCGTGACAGCATCTGTTCTTGGAACTCATTTTTCCACTACCTCATTCCTTCTTTTCCTTTTCCTTGATTGCTTCTAAGTTCTTTAGGTGTGTGCCCTCGAGGCAGACCTCCTGGTCCCAGGTGGCTGGAAGTCTTTGGCAGCATGGAGAGCTGTTTCAGCGGCAATGCTCCCTGACCACTTTCCTACTTCCTTATCCTTGCCGGGCCCAAGCTGTAGGAAAGGGCTGTGGGGAAACTTGCTTGCTATTACATTGTCACTGGCTACCTAACCGATGAGTTAGAACTGATTCTTAAAAATATCTCGGAATCGGGCCCTCCCTGGTGGCGCAATGGGTTCAAGCACCGCATTACGAAGCTCTCCAAAGCCCCTGCAGCATGAGTTGATCCCCAGCCAGGGAGCTGACCCACATGGGCAGCAGACCTCTCCTGACCCTTCCCCGCTGCTCCCCTCAGCAGTGCACTTCTAAGTCAGCCTGTTCTGCTCCCTGCTCTGGCTCTGGTGAAACTTCTCACCCACCACACCTCTGGCCTGTACCCCAGTTCTGTAAGCATAAATAAATAAATCTTAAAAAAAAAAATCTCAGAATCGTGAGGGTCGATCCTGTTCTTTGTATTTTATTAAACTTGACTCTGAAGTTCCACTTGAGACATCCTGGCCTGGTGACTGTGCCCTTCTGGGCACTCTAGTGTTTCTACTTGTGTCTGGAATGGCTGCTTTGAAATGCTCAGCTGTAATATTCTGCATCTCCGCTGCTTTTAGTTGTCAGTAAAACTAGCCTGCCTACGCGCGCTTGTATTCTAGATTTATAAATAGGTTCTGATGCCTACAATTAAACATACTACATTTTGCACAAGCACATTTCTTAAGGAGACTGTAGAGGGTAGATAAATGGCTTTTCCTCTTGCGATGCTCCCTGGAAACCATCTTTTCTGGCTCTTTTCCCCAAGGGGCTTGATTTTGAAGGATCGGCAGTGATTCTTTTGGTCTGTAAAGCCCCAAACACAATCTCTAACATGCACAGGAAATTCAGAATCAAATTTCCCAAAGCTCTTCACAGGGACAGGCCCAGGACCAGCTCCTACGTGTCAGGGAAGGTTTGCGCCACACTCACTCCTTATGATACACGTGGCCACACATGTTTGTGGCTATGAGAAATACAGGTGACAAAGAAAATAAGTTGCTGAGCAGGAGATGCAGAAGGAGTCTTAAGGCTAATTAAGTCTTTGATAAATTGAAGGGAGGAGAGTAAGGCTTAGCCTCTACCCAAACCCAGAGAGGTCTGCCCAGAACCCAGATCATAGGAGGAAACTTGTTAACTGGCTGGAACTTCCAATCTGGACAGAAGAGGGACTTGAGTCATGATCTTGCATATTCATGTCATATAACTTTCAGAAGTGGGCTTTATTGATTTTCCATACAATGCAATAAGGACGGTGGAATAGGTATCATCACTCTCCAACACCTGGCGAGAATGAGAGACCTGGGACTTGAGGTGGGGCCTTACACCCCGACCCTTCCTCTGTTCTTTCGTACTCTTTCCCTGCTATCGGGGTGCAGGGAATGGGTTCTGAAGACCACAGGTCAAAACATTGGGGGCCAGTCTGTCCCCGCTGCTAACTGGGCTGACCCTGCAGCACCCCTTAGCACATAAATGTGGGCACATTTAAGCTCCCAGCGGGTTTCTCAAGGTATATTTAAGGGGCGAGCCTGGACGATCTCTACAGGGGCCCCTGATGCTCCCGGGCTGGAGGATGTGGCCTCTGGAGGGCCAGCGCACAGGATGGCTGTCAAGGAAGCGCCAGAGTGATGAGCCTGCATAAGGCCATATGACAGCTTGTAGGTAGTGAGTATGGAAGAATTCAGGCGACAGTTTGGTACGTTTCCAGATTCAATTAAAAAGAAAAAAAAAGGAAGAACCCAGTTCTAGCCGCTTTCCCTAGCCTGGGGCCAGTGCAAGGCCCAGGAATGTGTCGGGCCAGGCAGAGACGCTCATAATCCCCCCGAGGCCCGCATCACTGCCCAAAGGCTGGTTGAGGGGCTGGGTCTCGGTGGACGGCGGTGAACTGCCCTAGACACGCCGCGGGTGTCCACGTCGGTCCTCTCGGGTCTCCAGGCCTCCGCAGCCCACGCCTCCGCCCCGCCTCCCAGCTCCCTATCTCCGCCCACGGGGGCGGTGATGGGGGTGGCGGGTGGCAGGACCAGCCTTCCCTCCCGCAACGCTGAACTCCGCAGCCTGGGCGCAGGGCCGCCAGTTCCTAGAAATCTTGCGACGCTGTCCAGGATTTGGAGTTAGTATCCCCCAAGGACCCTTAAGGTTCGTGCTTACCCCCCGCCCCCAGCTCAAGGACGGCCTGGACGGGGAGAGAAGGGAGAGCGCCCCATCCATCACCCCCATCCATCCACTCACCGTCCCCATCCGCCCTGGAGGCCAGTCCCGTCCCAGAACTGCCAGTCCGGGCTGACTGGTGGGCGAGGAGCCGGCGGCCGAGGGGGAGCCGGGGAGCAGCCGGAGGGGCCGGGGGCGGGTAACGGCCGGCCCCGGGAGGAGGGAGCTAGGCCGGGCGGAGGCGCCCTGGGGGCGGCTTGGGTACCTCTGGGGCGCCCACCCGACCTCCGCGGGCTAGCCCCGAGTGGGGACGGTGAGTCAGACCTCAAGCCCCCGCGGGGGTGGGGGGCGCGTCAGGAAATGACATCAGAGGCTGTGCGGGCGGAGGGGTGGTCTGGGCCGCG